GGCTTCAGGAAATCGCCAATTGCTTAAAGAAAAAATGTTTCTATACATTAGTAAGGTATTTTTCATGCTAATTGTTCAGTTAATAGTCTTAAATACATACATTTTATTAAGCTAGTTATGTTAGCTGGTACTCTATACTTATACTTCGATAGAAAGTGGGCGAAACGGGCTTAAAAGCAAAAATCCAAAACGCAGTGTATAAAATGCTTAATAGAGAATTAAATTAATTTATGATGATTGTTTCTTTAAATGCAGTAAGTTATCTCATTTAACAACCATACAGGTGAGAGGAAAAATGCTGAATATCTGTTACACCTTTCCTATAGAAGCTTTGGAAATTTCCACTTTAAGCCTCTTGCAACTAATTGCTAGACATAACAAATTAATTATTAAATTAGCGACTATTATTTTGATTTCAATCGAAGCAGAAGTACAAAGGAAAGTCTTGATTTTGAAACTGTTCAAACCTAAATTAAAATGGATATTTAAACGAAGTTAGCAAAGCGTTTATATTACTTCGTTCATGAACGTATGCCTATGTGAATACAAGTACGTAAATCAAGACGTTAGCTCATAAATTATTATATTGACAATTGTTTTATTGGCTTTGTGTGTACGTATCTCGTTTTGTGTGTGCGAGTGTAAATTATTTAATATGTTGATTGACAGTTGGAGTGGTGTTGTGCGGAATGCTTGGTTTGGTCTTTTAGCTCTGGCTTCGCCATTTTGCGGTAGCCTGAAATATGAATGCCGTTGTCAGAGTCATCGCCGCTGTGACACTCATTGAGTTTTGTCAACGAAATGTTTGTAACTGTCAATCATAAATTGGCTGCCAATCAAAGCAAATAACTAAAAAATTGTCTATGATTTGAATGACAACGAAATGCATGAACTAATTCATTGACACATTAAAACAGATGCATATACGTATATGTATGTACGTGTGCTTTAAGCGAAATAAAAAGATCGCTCATACGCCGTGTGGCAAAGCTACTTTTTTGCATCATTTTATTCGATTGAAAGGTTTGAAAATATGAGTAATTTGAGAAGGTATGTATTATATTTATTCTAAAACTGCACTTACACCAAACTAAATTAATGATACTTGATGCTTAAATGAAGGTCTTGTGTAGAACCCATTTAATAGGTGTTGCAATAAGAATATTTGCTTTAATATTAAAAAAATGGAAAGCAAAATTAATGACAGCTATACTTATAATATAGTGAGCTAATCTAGTCGGTCCATACATACTATTATCAGTTCCTTAACTGTGGCCGAAACATACAGACGCACAGATCAAGGGACGGAGATTCGGACATAGAATATGTAGTTCTTCCTTTTTATACATGTTTAAATGTTATAAATTAAGAACTGAATAACAATTAGATCAATAGCATGACAAAATCGAGTGTCTAAGAGCCATTTTAGAATTTTAACATTTAAAATGTCGGTTTCAAAATCACCAAAATATGATCAAGTCTATCTGAAATATATGTATATACTGAATACTATTAAATAAGATTGTCTAAATAAAAACAGACATTTTAGCAGATCGAGTGTCTAAGAGCCATCCTATTAAGCACTGTAACAGTTAGAATGTCGGCTATAAAATCCCCAAAATGTGATCAAGTCTAGCTCAAATGTATATACTATGTGCATATAAATTATATTGACGGAAATTCCGTTAAAATAGACATTTCAACAGTATGTATGCGGAACAAACTTGACTCACTCACTGGACTTACAATTGTGTTGTGTTGTGTTGTAATTGTGTTCGTTGCTCCTTTTCGTGACACATTTCCACCTCATTTCCTGCTTAGAGCCAACTGCTTCGCATTTTTAGTTCACGCAAACAACAGATACACTGGTAGAGCTCCAAAAATATAAAGTATACGTCAGGTGTCGCAGAGCAGTAAACTAGTCATGCTAAAGTAGCAAACACACTCGGAAAATTCCATGAATGCAGGTATATTTTTATTTGACAAACTTCACGACAAGACCCATAACTTGACCTAAGTGTTGCGCATGCTTGAATCGCTCACAATGTTTAAATTGTTTCCAATCTTTTAGGAGTTGCACAAATGTGCCACCTCATGGTTAACAAACAATCGCATTTTGGCTCTCTCTCTCTCTGTCTCTCTCGACAACTCTGGCCCTCTGCAGCAGGAATTCTGACACACCCACAGCAATGAGAAGAACAACAACAGCAAATGTTGACCTCACCTTGATGCTGCGCCTGTCGCTTTTGTTTGCCTCACAAAAAACCACAACAACAACAACTACATCAACAAAACTATATACATACATACAATAATGAGAGTTGAGCCATTTATTTGCTTTGCTTTCATTGCTACACTTTGACATTGTCTGTAGCTTTGGCGCATCGAAATTCTCGCTGGTGTGTAGGGCACACATCAGCAGCGGCAGGAACAACAACAACAACAGCAACAACAGCAACACGACAACACGACGACGGGCAAAGAATGTGTATAAAAATACCTATGGCTGCGTCACCAACGCCAACAATTTATGTGCTTATTTAATGCCAAGCCATTTCGCTACGTTCTGTTACTGACTGCTCCCAGCTCCCAGCTGCCACTGCTTGCCTAACTGACTAACTGACTGACTGATTAACTGACTGACTGACTGATTAACTGACTGACTGACTGATTGTTTGACTGGCTGACTGTTTGCTGCCCCTCTTACCTCCCAACGCTCCGAGTTTTGTTTTTTTTTTTCTGTACACCCTTCACTTTAAATCAAAGGGTATATTGTGTCTCGCAGGCGAAGAAGACACGATCCTATGTGGGAGTTAAATAAATGATCGTTTAAAGTGAATAAAAACTGATTCTTGTATACGAATCTTTTTATCTTTAAATAGTGATCCATATGTCTTAATATGTACATAAATGACATATATATTCTGTCTTTCCAGAACGATAAGTGGTTCGATAGAGAGATATCTAGAAAAATAGATAGCCAGGTAAATAGATAGATTGATGAATTGATCGATAGATAGAACTTAAATAAATACAAAAAAAAAAAAAAAACGAATCTGTATTTTTTCTGTTAAAATATACAAGGAGCTTGAAAAGAAATGAACCTTTCTTTTGCCATGCTGTATTGAAGGGTACAAAGCATCGTCACAGCTGAGGTGAACATTTAATTTTTTTTATTATTATTTTTTTTTTTTAAACGCAGACAATTGCTTATGCTCATTGCGATCGGGCGCCGTTCGAGAGCGCGCGCGCGCATTGAAGCGTTGTTGTTGCTGTGCAGCCATTGAATTGTAAATTGCTGTTCTATTGAACGTACTGAAATTTTATCATGCCCGGCTCTGTTGCGGGCGGAGAGAGTTGGGGAGGGGGGAGCGGACAGTGGACAAAACGCAGCTTATGGATTTATTTTGGAGCGCCCATTCGCAAAAGTTGGGCGTGTAAATGCCTTCTTATTTGGGGTGTGTGTCTTGGCTAAGTGCTGCACAACAACAACAGCAACAGCAACAATCGCACTTATGCCACAGCTTCGACAATAAGTCTATAATTGCAGCGCATTAAGTAAACATTGCAAAAAAGAAGAAGAAAACAATTAAAGTATATCCTCAATATAGCGCACAAATACAGGGGGAAGTTAATTCATTTATAATTGAACATGTCCACAGTTCTATTTCTATATTTTTGAATGATTTATTCGAGTCAAACCCATTGATATTGAAGTGTATTGTGAATAGCATTACACTAGCACTACACTCGAATAAAAGCCATAATAATAAAAGTCTTAGATTTTCAAATAGTATACAACAGGTCGAAAGCGGAGTGAAATTTACCATAAGATATATATATTCTTGATGAGCCCGGCGATATGAATCGCTACAATTGCGTCCTTCGAAAATGTTAAGTGTTAGAAATTAAGAGCACTAACTAGAAACCCTATTTGATTTTTTAGTGGGTTTTAAGAAAAAGTCAAACGTTGGAATCATAACCAAACATCTCTTATCCAATTCCTGTTTATTATTATACACTGTACACAAAGTATGCAAATGGAAGAAGGAAGCAGCTTGATGAGAGAAATCGACCCAGCCATGCCCGCCTGTCCGTCTGTCTGTCTGTCTGGATGAATGCCTGGATTTTGGAAAAAGCTGAGAACACATTGACCAGCCTTGGTATGTAGATTCTGCTTTTTGGCCTGTCATCACGAGCTCATTTTATTTTTTGCGTGTTTCCTTCCCTTTCCCTGCTAAAGAATACTGCTAAAAATTCCAAAGCGACATCAACTAAACTTTGCTCATTATAATTCCTTACTCTCTCCCATATCGGTTAACTCTCAGATAAGTTATTAGCCAACAAGTTTCACTCCTGTACTACGCCTACAAATTCGCTGTTCTTCTTCTACTTGCTATTTCTATCGAGCTAGCTCGTCTGTAGCATTCTCCTTTGCTACATAAATGGCATTGGGAAAATAACGTTTTGAAAAGATCAACAAAATGCTTTTATGATACTTATTGTACATATTTTAAAACACAAAACAATTAAGCAAAGTGTAATTGAAAGAAAAGTGCGATAAGTTCAATAATTTGTAACTCTCCCTTCCAGGACTTCAATTCATCCATTCCAATAATGGAGCATTGTTTACCTTTCTTTTCAAAATTTAGATATTTCTGATCCTCATTATCGATTATCTTTTACCATTCTTTCATTAGGGTACATACAATTAGATAAAGATAAGGGCAGAAATCAGTTTACAAAATCATATGTAGTAGTAAGGGCAGTCACATTTCATTCGCTTTTAGGGAGTGCTCACTGTACTGAACGTTAGCCATATCCAACGTCCAATATGGTACGTTCGCTGAGCGACGCTTTGGTTACAATCATACACACACACACACAGACATACACGCATATATAGATGTACATGTCCATACATACATGCAAGGGATGGCGAGTGTGTGTGTCAGTGTGTGTGTGTGTGTGTGTGTGTGTGGAGTGACAATGACACATACTTAAGCACAAATCAGTAGACAATATGCAAGTTCAAAAAGTTCGTAAATTTTTTCGTTGCGCGCGCGCACGCCTTGCGCCCAACCCCCCGATTCAAATTTCTTGCACTTGGCCACTTTGTTTTGTTTCTTCTACTTCTTCTTCTTCTTCTTGTTATTAATATTATGATTATTGTTCTGTTTGCTCGCGTTCGGTTTTTGAAATACGGGCGCAGGACAATTGGCGATTGGCGCTTCGACTAAGACGGGGAGTATTAATGGAGCGTTTTGCTTTTGCTTTTGGGAACAGGCGCGTGTATCGCTCGGCGTCGGCGCGCGCTTTTTCGTTCTATGCGGCGTTCGTTGTGCGGTCGACACGATCTTGGACAAACTAAAGTTTTTTTTTCTGCTTTGTGTTTTTGCTTGGCTCGACCAGCGGTATCGCTGTCACCGCAGCAGCAGCAGCACCAGCACCACCAGCAGCAGAGCATAGAAAATAAAACAAAATAATGCCCGCACGCTTCGCTTGACAGTTGCGCGCGCTCTCAACACTGCACGTTGACGATGCGAGACGTGGCCAGGGCAGCGTATCAGAAGATCGGCAGAGGCAGTGGCTGTGGCTGTGGCAGAGACAGAGGCATGGAGGCAGCTGTCCTCTATCTATTTGTGGGCCGTGTGTGTTTGTTGCTACTGGTGCTGCTGCTGACGACGCCAGAGACAGGAACTGCGGCAGCAGCAGCGACAGCAAAGTCGACGCCGACGCCGACGTCGACATCGACGTTTACGTTTTGCGTTCTTTTGTTAAGCTTTTTGTCAACATTGCTTGCTGGACTTTTTATACTCTGTACATAAAATGTACAAGAGTATATTAGGTTTGCGGGAGCTGAAAATGTAACAGGCAGAAGGAGGCGTGGCAGACCCCACAAAGTATATATATTCTTGATCAGCGTGACGAGACAAATCGATATAGCCCTGTATGTCTGTCTGGCCGTCTGTCCGTATGAACACCTGGATCTCAGAGGCTATAAGAGCTAGAGACACCAAATTTTGCACAAAGATGCGTTATATGTGTATGCTGTGCAAGTTTGTTTTATTTTTTGATTTCCCCCCCACTTCCCCTCTATGGGGGTTTTCCCGATTTTCCATTCGTATAATCGCCTATATCTAAGAGACTATAAGACCTACGGACACCAAATTTTAGTCCCAGATGCCTTATGAGAATACACAGAAAATGTGTATTTTGGAATTTCCCTCCCTCCCCCCCCCCTCTCCCCCGCAAATCGCGATTTTCTCTAACTACCGTAATTCTTGGAATTTCGAACTAAAATTTTGCAAATACCCCCAGTTAGTTATTGTGTGTCCGTATGCTATGATAGACCGATTTAACAAGACGTTATAGCCATAAATATATTTGCAGCTGCAGCGCTGCCCAAGCGCTGCCCGCGGCTGTTGTTGATGTTGCTGTTTGGTTGACTGCGAAAATGCTTACACAGACACAAATAGACGCGCATAAACATGCATACACTCACATAGACGCTATTGCTTTGTATATGTGCAATTATACACCCTTTACGTGAGTTCGAATGCCAAAAGAGGTAAAATCGATCAAATTTTTGTTTGTTAATTCTCTTACTTTTTTAATTTCTATAATTATTGTAAACATATGTACAGAGTATTTCAAAGTCGGGACACCCGACTTTAGCTTTTTTACTTGTTGTATTTTGTTTTGTTTTTCTTTATGTACACACATTTAGCTTTTAGCTTATTGTAGATTTTAATTTCTTTCTTCTCTGCCACGCCGCTCTTAGTGTTATTGTTGCTTTTGCTACTAGTCGTATATATTTCTTTTTATTTGAATACATTTATGTACATATGTATGTATGTATATCCACATCTGCATGAACCATAATACATACATAATACATGAATGCATGTGAGGGGACATTTCTACATATATACATACATACATACAGTATACTACATACATATTTGTTTTGTCTTTAGTTGTCGCTATCTATTAACGTAATATTCCATTGCCCAGCCCACTTTACTAGGCTGGGCAAATAAACATACCACACAGTCCCACGAATCGTGCCTCCCGCCAACAAATCTTCTTGCCCTCCGCCTCACGACTAACCCAAGTAGCAGCGTCATTTGTCTATTGAAGCGTGTTCATGCTGTTATTATTATATTTCTTCTTGTTGTTGTTATTGTTTTAGCGAATGCGAATTCAGCATGTATGTGTGTGCATGTGTGTGTGCATGTGTGTGTGTGTGTGTGTGTGTGTGTGTGTATTTTAGAGCAAAGCCTACATATATGCATAGATAAACATGGGCATAGGAAGAAAAGCTATTGACAGCACTAACCTAGGTCAGCACACGTAGCGCACACATTCCAATCTCGCAGTGCCTGGCACGTTCCTATAGGCCACTTGTTAGCTGTTATTGTTGTTGCCTGACGCTCGCACGCACGCAAGCACGCACGCACGCAAACAATGCCAAATGCTGAATGCTGACTGCACACATGGCGTATGCGCAACGTTAGACGCATATTTTGCATAGCTTTGAATTGAAGAAATCGGAGCTGATGTAAACATATTTTTCCAAAATCTAATGCGCCAAAATCTAAGGCGCCAAAATATTTTGGCGCATTACTCATTGCACTTATTGCTCATCATATTTTCAATTAATTATTGATTAAAGATTAATCTCAAATGGCAGAGAAAGATTAAAGAATTAAGGTGGTTCTTATGTTTTAAGGATCAAATTAGTGTGTAGAAATAGCATTTAATAATAAAAAGGGTATACCAAGAAGTCTAAACGATGAAGGAGGTGTGCCAGACTCCATCTTAAAGGAACATACACAAAATTACATGTATTACATATGTCTGCCATTCCGTTCGTCTGTCCATCTTTGATATATTTGATTATTAAGATCGTCTAAGAAAGTTGTATACTTATAAGTGCCTCCTTTTAAATTGAAGATTCATAAAATGATGCCATATATCATATACATACTTTATTTATCCATTTTTATATATCCATTTATATTTCCTTTTTTTAAGGTTTACTTTTTGGTTTATATACTATAATTGTCTTAAACGAATATGGTAGTTATGTGTTTTCCTTAGTGCCTCATCATTTTTTAAATTATATGAAAATATGTGCACCATATTATATCGCTTCCATAGCAACAATCGGCATCTTTTTTCCATATAATGATATCTTAAGCAAAGTCTGCAAGTCTGTTCTTTGTGTAGTGCCTGACTACAAGCTGAAGTTTTATCAGAATCGATGAAATATGTACATATGTAGCTGCCAAAGGAATGATCGGCACAACCCAGCTGCAGAATATTCAAGACTTTAACGTTCCGCTTGTTTTGAACTTGTATGTGAAGAAAGATGTATAGGTCAGTTTTTTGTCACACCTCGATATATACTATAGTATTCATTGTCATATATAGTATGGTATGTATTTGCTTTTGATGAATTATCTCTGCTGTTGTTTTAATGAGCTGATGAATTAATTGCCATTCTCACTATTCAGCACGATTTGGATTGGCATACGTTGTGATTCCTATTAGCGTGACTTTGATAAACTAAGAAGGTAACGTTAATGCAGATTAAGACATCATAAATATCACAGATTTATAGCATGACTGTGGCGCTGACTGTTCCCTACTGATTCTCACTGCCGGCTGATCTTTGTCCATATGATCAAATAAATCAGTGCCAGTGGCGCAAGATGCAAAAGCTATTAATTATTGCAAGTGGCATTAATTGCGCGAAATCTAAACAATTAGGTTAGAAGTATGTGTGTGAGTGTGTTTGAGGGGGCGTGCGTGGGGGATGAACATAATTAGCTAATACATTTTTTTCTGTTGGCTTGCTAATTGTTTATAGCCCAGAGAAAAGAGCCTAGCAGTGATTATCACTGGGTGCTGGTCATTGGAAGCGCGTGATCTCGTGATCAGGGGAGCAGCGCAGCAAAAAATTGAAATGTAAACAAAAGCGGGCGCTGGTGATGACGTTCATGTGATGACGTTCATGGTGGTCACTGGGAACAGTCGCAACAACAACAATTTGTGCAGAATGTGGTGTGGGCATGGGGCATAGTCAGCTGAGGCAGTCGTTCTGGGTGCCGTTGATGAGTAAGCCAAGTGGCGAGCATTTCTGACGGAGATTGCGGGCGATAGTCATGCCATGAACGTAAAACTCGCGCGCATAATTAAGACAATGGGCGCGAGAAGGCGACGACATTGGCGACGTGGGCAACAGATGCCAAAATGCAGCGCGCCGATAAGCACATCTATCTAGGTAAGAACACTACAGTCAAGTGTCGCAACAATGAATCGCATAAGAAGATGATCGTATCGTCAAGACCAATGCAAATTAAATAGGAAATGTATATATTTTATTTATTTGTGTATATTATTTTAAATATTTTATACATTTTAATCTTTTTTATAACAAATTATTAACAAATTTATTTTTGGCAGCAACGATTAGGCCCACATACTTGTCAAATAAATACTGAAAATCTTTAAAAAAAAGTAAAAATTATTAATATGTATATAACTTAAGAAAACTGAATAAATTGTAATCAGTTTTAGATAAATAGTAAAATTAGTAAAACTAATAAAATTATCAGAAAGACGTTTTTTTGTGATGCTCGGTAGTCGCATATCCGAAGACAAATTGGCAGACACATAATGATTCCCAATAATGAATACGAGTATTTCAACGGTAGAGGGAATCGGCACAGACGACTGTATATACATATGTATGTGGCTGGCACACGGATTAATACAGATACCCGCGCATATATACATTATCTTTATTTTTGTCTATGGCACATCATTGATCAAATCATTTCGCAGACAGCACAAATTGTTGGCCAATTATTTGAATACTTACATTGTGGGCCTGTCTTTATCTGTACTGCAGATAAGCGAATTTATATATACATACATACTTATATTGTGTATATAATGTTTGTATGCATTCGTGTGGTAGTTACTATTTACTCTCGTCTGTTTGTTGTTCTTTTCGTTTTATTTCCTTTATGTATTTTGCATCAACGTGCGACAGGGCGTATACGTAATATGTGCGGGTTGGCGGAACGTGGCGTATGCGCAATATTTGTATTTTATACAACAGTCTGAATTATATATGCTGTTAATCAGATCTATTTTGAGTCTCACTAAACGCTGATATTTCGATCAGAGAAGTCTAAAAAATACGTAGGGAATTTCTACCTAACACTTGTCTGGATT